ATTGGTCAGTGCAGCCTTATCTTCAATTCCCAAACTGTTTTTCCCCATGCCTGTTTGCAGAGTTTAGAGGTGAGGGCAAGTATGGAGATCCCCGGGGAAGTTACTCAGTTCGGCTTCTGACTCCCTTCTTGTCATGTTTACGTGGCTCTACCTCTTCCCAGTGTTTTGATGAGCAGTGGAGAAACCTGGCAGTATATGATAAGACTTCATCTCTGAGTGAAAGTTTAGAGAGAGAGAGTCTGGTTTCGTGTGATTATCTAAGCCTGGTACTGGTAATGTGCTGGTGATCTGCGTGACCTGCTGCTTGAGTGAGAGGCAAAGCCACAGTGGGCACCCTGCTTTTCATTCAGGCTTGGGCAGGGAAGGTGGAACATGGGTGGCAAAACACTCGTCCGATGACTTGACTTGGCAGCTGAAACACATGGGATTGCTTTATGTGATAGTTTGCAGCGGTGCCTTGTAAATGAGATGAAGCCATCAACCAGCTCGAGGGTGACTTAATCATTCATCCTTATTAATGCATCCTTATTAATGATGCATTTTACCTGTCAGCGACCTGTTCTGATGTGGGAAAACTGGTGCAGTTTGACATTTTGTATCTTTTGAAGGTGCTCTCTGCTGAAGACAAGATCTTTGTGGTTAACAAAATATTTGTGTTGTAATTGACAGTGATGTGTAGTAAACTACGCCAAAGACCTAGTGCCTTAACCAGACTTTTACCCTTCTGAATCACAAATATTGACTTCTTCAGTGCAAAATTGACCTGTTTGCTTCTGGCATTGAGCCACAAGTGAAACAGGGGACAGGTCCCATTCTTGTGCCTGTTTTCATACTAATTCAGAAGTTGGGAAGATTTTAGTATCTAAAGTACTGAGCTTTACCCCAAGCAATACACTGCTGTGTGCCCGTGAAGATTTCCATATCATGTGTTTTAAATGTTTTCATTGCCTGCTGAGATATGTGGACCTTGTCGGTGTGGGGTTTTTTTCCCTTTGTTTCTCTTTTTTATTTGACACTGAAGGATGTTTTAGCATAGAATAGGTGTTGAATGGGAACCTGGGACAGTGCTTTCTTCAGATGTAATAAATATAAATACCACCTATCATCTCAACTGTTAGATCAACGCATTTTCAACTGAGGATTTTGCCTCAGTGCTGTGTGTTCACTGTCCTCATCCCTCTCTCCTTCCCACTCATTCAGATATATTGGCACTATGCTGTCAGGTTGTAACATTGCTTATACTTTGGTTTTAATGCGTGGGGTTTTTTAAAGGTAACTATACGGTTTGGGAGAGTCTTTACTCAGAAGAGGAATGTTTAGGATACGCTGGAGTGCTTAAGAAACCTCTGCCCACCTGCCAAACAGCCATTAGGCTGGAAATGTTTCCTTCATCCCATATGGGCTGCTTCCCAGTAAGTAGTTGTGGGGTGCTCTGGTACCGCCTGCCCGTGCACGGGGTGAGCTGCGGCAATGCACTGGCCACGGCCACGTGCTGGATGGGCAAAGACTGTCGGCCAAAAATGCTCCTGGCACAGGGCTGGAGCCGTGCCCTCCCTTTATAGCAGATGGCTGAGCAGGCCACCATTGAGAAACGTTTCCAAGAAGCGTCATGCTTCCCAGGGACAGCAGGATGACCTGCTTGCACATTTCAGCCAGCCACCTCAAGTTTGTAATTGGTTTTTTTTTAATGATCCCAAGCGTTATTACAAGTGAGAAATGAGCCGTAAGTGTCCTGTTGTGTGTGCTCGTTGGCGTAAGATAGTGTCTTGATGGAGTCGTAGTACTGAAAAATCTTTAATAGGTGCAATCAGAAACAGAGAATGAAGCGCTCAGGGTGGGACCTTCAGTTCTTCAGGGCCGGCAGCACCTTGGGGTGCTGTGCCTGGTTGGGACTTTGGGGGAATTTTGGCTGTGGGGCTGTGGTTGCTTTGGATGACCTCATGCTTAGTAAAGTATTCAAGCATTTCAGGTGCAAAAAGCAGGTCTGAGATGGAAGCAGACTACCTGTTGGTTACAGCAGAGGATGCCTGCAACTGCTCTGTGACTTAAGATTGCATAATGAGGAAAAATTTTGTCCTCCGAGTAGCATTTCTGGAATGGGTGTGAAGATGTTTTTCAGGGGCTTTCACATGTCACTCCTGTCCTAAAGCACCAGTGGGCTGAGGAACGCCAGCAGCTCTGTAAATAACATCCTGAAGCAGGCATTTTTCACTCAGTCTGTAAATTTTGATCACCTCTAACAGACACCTGCCATGTCCCATGAATGCCATACAAGTCTAGGTCTTTTAGCTGCTCTGTTTCCATTTTGAAATGTGGTGACGCTGTCGTCTGCTTCACAAAAAGAGGAGGGGTGCTTGGAGCGAGGGTAATTCCTGACAGCTTCTCATCAACTTCAGTGTGTTTTCCATGCTTACCCGTCTGTCAGCATCTAAGAGAGGGGGAGATGTTTTCTCATGTGCTTTTCGGTTCAGTTTTTAAGCACTGTTGACTACAGCAGATACCTGGGCAGTATCCTCATCCTTCCACCTCAAGTCCTCTCCACATGTGCCAGGGGCCAACCTGCAGCAGGGAGCCCCCGTGGTGGGCTGATTTCACAAAGGCTTTTGAGCTCCACAGGGCAACCGCAAACTTCTTCCAGAAAAGTTGCTAAATTAGATGGGATGCTAACAAGCACCTGGGGCTTAGGGTCTTCCTCCCGCCTTAGTGCAGGGCCATACCAAGGTTGTAGAAATCTCAAGACACTTAGTTTTAGTTTTTCATTTGTGCCCCAGGGCATTTATCTGTATTCCTGCTTGCATGCCATCAGCTAGTTTGCTAGTACAGAAGCAAAACATCTGCATAAATGTGACATTCGTGTTTGATACAGGTACTGAATTTCCAAAGTGTAGAGCATCTTATGCTGCTTGAAAGAAGAGGGAGGTGCGTTCGTGACCTTACGACTGACTTTTTGTATTTTAATTCTCTTCTAGGTGAGAGACCGTACAAATGTCAAACCTGTGAACGGACCTTCACTCTGAAACACAGCCTGGTTCGTCACCAGCGCATACACCAGAAAGTCAAAAATGCTCGAAACCATGGAAAGGAGAGCGACAAGGAGGAGACCCAGTCGAGGTGTGGAGAAGACAGCGAAAATGAGTCTAGCCACAGTGGCACCAACCCCATCTCAGAAAACGAGTGTGACTCCACGGGGGTCGTCGGTAGCCATACGTCCCTCACGGGAAGCCGAAAAGAGTTCCAGGCCGGCACGGCCAAGGACTCCCCCAGCAGAGAGGAGAGGTCGAGTGGGCGAGGAGCCAGCACCTGCCTTGCCGAGCCCACCAAGAGCGCACAGAAACAGACCGCAAAAGACCAGGAACCTCGGGGTAGCTCCGAGCACGAGAGGCCCTCAGGTTTCATTCAAGACTTGCTGGAGATGCACAACAAAAAGTCTCCCATGAATCACATCCTTGCCTCTGCAGACAGTGCGCCTCAGCTCTTGGGGGTTGAGTAACTGGCTAGGAGGTCGGACCCATCCCAGCACGCAAACTGAAGCCAGCAGAGCAAGGTTTCTGGAGTCTTTGGTTTTGGAAGAGTGACCTACAGCTGTGGGGAGAGTATGGCAGACTGGATGCGGTGCCATATGCCTTTCACTATAATAATGCAAGAGACTACAGTATATACTGATTTGAGTGCCTTACTACTTTATTAGATCTTTTGGTATCATAGATTTTTTTTCAAAAATGATTTTTTTTTTAATATTTTAATGAATTATTTGGAGAGGACCTTTTTCATTTAAGCATTAATGTTACCTTTTGTATTGGTGTGCGTGAGCTTGTTCTTGTATATCTGTGATAGTCGCTGTGTTTGTTCTCTGAGCTGGAAATGGGGGCAGTGGGGTGGGAGGCCCTTGGATACCACAGCCAATAACTGGAAGAAAAATTATGTGAATTTCATATGAAATAGTCAGAGGAGATGCAGATGAGATGTTGATTTATTGTTTTTTCTCAGTAGATGTTCTTGCATTTGCCACACGGTGGAGCATTAAGCCTGTTCCAGGCCTGAACAACGTGGCAGTTGAAGGTGTTCAGAGTGGTTCAAGCCAAAAGCAGGAAACACGACGAATTTCAACCTCACGCTTGTTGCCACTTTTCAGCGTTAGAGATGGTCTTGTAGTTCCTAGGAGGATTTTCTGGCCATCGTGGAATGAGCGTGTATGCAGAGAAGAGTTACATAGCATCGTAACCTATGGAAATTATGCACCCGCTGTTATATATGTTTGATTTGCTTCAGTATATTATTATTATTATTATTTTA